ATGATTGTTGGGCTTTTCTCTGTATCTATGAAGCGCCTTGAGGCGACATTTGTTGTGATTTGGCGCTATATAAATAAAATTGAATTGAATTGAATTGAATCCTGGTGCAGGAACATCTTTGCTAAAGACCAAAACGTTCTTCAGAGAGTGATCTGTATGGCTGCACGACTGCCCTCCCCTCCCTACAGGACATTTACACCAGGAGATGCTGGTCCAGAGCAGCTCAGATATGGAAGGACCCGTCCCATCCCAGCAATAAACTTTTCCAACTTCTGTAATCAGGCAGAAAGTTGCACACCATCCAAGCAAAAACAGAGAGGCTCAAGAGGATTTTCTCTCTCCTCAGGCCATCCATGTGTTCAATCAGGACATGCTTATGACTGTTTACTTTTTAATTTAGCAATGTGTTAATTGTCTTTCATGCACTTTAATACAGAAAATCTTTAAAGACTTACTACATAAAAATGTTAGTAGATGTGCTGGAAAAGCCAACGGTGTCACCTTGTGGTAAAAATGGTGCTTTGCTCAGTAAAAGCAATGAGCAACAGCAGGTAGCCCGGGCGAAACATTCAATCAACAGGGCTCTCAGTCTTGTGCAGCATATTTTCACTGCTTCATTGTGAACAAACTACAGTTATTAACTATATTTCTGTAAGACCTGCTTATGTTTGTTCTTGTTGCTACTTGTAACATAAGTAGATTTTAGTGCTTTCTGTTTCTGTTCTTTTCTAGCAGCTAATTAATGACTTTGTTGCCACCATCAAAATGTAATTCATGTGCTAATTAGATAGGGTTACCCCCTATGGTAGTTAGGGATTACTTGAATGAATAAATAAAATAAAAAAAATAAAAGCAAATAAAATCTAATAATTACGAAGAAGAAGAACAAACCAGAAACTAGTTAACAAACTTAATTTTTTTTTTTTTTAATATGTAACTTAAATATGCTAGTGACCATAGAGGTAATTTAGATAGGCGTCACATTAGCTGTTGACTGAGAGGGTGTGCCTCACTTACCAAGAGATCTTTCTTCCTTAGAAGCTTGGAAGATGAAGACATCGTAGTCAAGGCTTGAGCATAGTTTAAGGCCACAATGAAGAGGTCAAGGGTCGGAGATGTCTGAATGTTTCCGCACTCTTTCAGGGGTTTAATTGTTTTTGTCTTTGGCTGTATCCCAATTCAAGGTCTGCAGCCTTAACGGTCCACAAGGGCCGCGTAGTCAAAGACCGCTAAGGCTGGAAGTGCGAGGCTTGTGAAATGGGACGGTCTAGCCTCCGTTGCGCTGCCCAGGTTGCCTAGCAACCATGATACTAACAGCTGGAAACGTTTCATACAGCTTTGTTTGACAGAAATGAAGGAGAAAATCTTTTGTTCATTTGTTTGTTTGTTTCTACATGAGCTTTGATCATTCTCTGTAAGATTAAGGTCAGCTATTGAACGAATATTGAATTGAATATTTTAACCCATGGGGTCAAATTTGACCCCATGGGTTCTCCAGGGTTAAAGTAAAGGCTTTAAAACCAAGTTAGTACAAACGTCACTAATGTCACATAACTTTGCCGACATGTGGCCAACAGGAATGTTTAAGTGACATAATATTCAGTACTTACTTAAAGTTTACTCTTGGGGCGCCCCTCATCCCCCGTTTTTTTCCGGCAAAATTATCCACACCCACCGCCGCGCTATGCATTCTGGGATATGTTGGGCCACGAAGTCTACACCGCCACATCCTTAAAATTCAGGGAAATGAAGGACGCATTTGAGGGCCGCATTTTGAGCAGCCTTTGAATTGGGACAGCCTTCGTCGTGTCGCTGTGACGTAATTGGCCTTAAAATGCGGCCTTTAAGGCTGCAGACCCTGAATTGGGATACAGCCAGTGTTTGTTGTAGCTCAGACTGTTTCTTGTGTTTCTGTGTAAAGCTGAAGTGATAAAGAACCATATTGCTTGTGTACAGAGACTAACTGGAAGTATTCGGGCAGTATTGACAAACTGCCTGTAGAGAGATACTTTCCTTCCTTGTGTTGGAGAGCCATCTTGTGGTTAGGAATGGTACTGAAATTAATTTATCAGTTAAGGACTTATTCTCTAATGACCATTTCAAAATGGATGTCTTAAAAAAATTAAACTCTCAATAGAAAACTCATTTCAAAAACCATTTTCTAATTCTAAATAAAAAACAGAATTTTACAAAAATCTTTTTCAAAATGCAATTTAAAAAAAAGAGAAATAAGTAAACTGATTTAAAAAAAAGTCAAAGATTTATTTCTGACAGGAAAAGTTGTTTCTTGGAGATATGTTTCACACAGAAACAGTGATGTCCTCCTCAGTCACTTCAGCATCCCTGAAGCATCCCTGGGAGTTATACAGCAGCACTGTGAATAACATGCTGCATCTGTAAATGATGCACAGGCTGCAGGTATTCAGACATACTGTCATGGACGAGAGTCTGGTCACCCAGTTTTTAAGTTTTAATTATTTCATATTCTTTGATTTTGTGGTTTTCTCATGGTTTAGTCTTTTGATTTTCCTGCTCTCTAAGTTCTTCAGTGTTTTGTTCCTGAGCCTCCCATGTTTAGTGTGTCGTGTCTGTCGTGTAGGTTTAGTTCTGCCTTCATGTTTATTTCATGTTCCCCAGTCAGCCGTGTCTGCATGTTGCAGTTTGTTACTCTTGTGTCTGTGCTTCTTGTAAACAACCTTTATTTGTCACATACACAATTATACAGAGTACAACATGTAGTGAAATGCTTTTGTCCGAGCTGCGGACGGGCTGCAGACGTAGCCGTGCCATTCCAGGGCATTTTAGTACGAGGGGTCTAGC